TTAGTGATCTGAACACGAACAGTTGTTAAGACTGGGATAACTTATGTAACAGGTGCAGTAGTTGTAGGACACACCTGCTAGCTACTAATCGACAGAAAATTGATACTAATTTTAAGTAGTCTGACATTTCAGGAGGACCATCTGCAGTATTCTTCGTAACCCCATGCACACTGATATACACATAATCTGATGCCATTTTTGACAATGAACAATTAAAGCCTTCTGACATTCCAAGTGCTAATGTCAATTAAACTAGTATCATGTCTTCGCCTGAGCAATTTTAAATGGGAACTTCATCAAAGTAGATATAATCACCAGGAAATGCAGCAGCCTGTCTCATTCATTGCATGGTCTCTTCCATGTGCTATGGAATATTTCAGTCATCGCAGATGATAAACAAAGTGTCTGACATCCTCAAAACACACATCAAACTTATGTCTCTAGGCTATTTCCCTTTCAAATGCACGATTCTCATACAATAACTGGGATGACAACAGCCATTGCCTGCAGTCAATTTACAACCTTAAGATCTGAAACAACTCACAAAAAACAATGCCTCAATGCTCTAAAACCCTAATAATAGACTCTTTATGCGATATTTCTTCAAAATGATGACTTTTTTATTAGTAATTCTTCTAGGCTGTCATGACAATTTTACGCATTACTACGAACACAACACACACAAATATTGCATTTTTCGGCTACAGAAGCCTAAAACTAGTCAAATAGAATCTATTTTCACAATACTGAGCGGTTAGAACGTCTCTATAGGCGAGAACGCGATAACCCATGCAATGCGCGAAAACACCTTATCATAGAACATAGCCTCACTCCCCATCGTATACCTAATCAGTGTAATTTAAGCGCCAACTTCTCCACCCCATATAAAGTCAATATACGTCATCACAGACTGGAAGAAATATATCACTATTCGGTAGCCATGTAAACAATTTTTAATCCTCTTTTGAAAGCAACAAAGTAAAGGACACTGATAGCGCTATCAGAGTGTTAACCTAGAAAATTTCCAATGATTCAATGCGTGAAGACATGCTTCAGTCCCATGAAGGTTGGCATCTCTGAACTGAAGATTTTCCGAGCTTTCACATCTCAGACCTTACCAGTTTTACTGGCCAGCTAGGTCCCAATGCCGGATAAAAAGATGGAGTGGGACGCCAGGCTGGTGGATCTACCTCGGATAATCAATCACATCGCTATGGAAACCTCAATGCACAAGGAAAATATTAAAAATACAAAGAATAATGTTCCCTGAAATCGAGGAGATAACAGGAAGCCAGTCTCCTTTCAGGGAAGGCAAAAATAATAATAAATAATATAAATAATAATAAACAAAGTTGGGATGCCTGTCAAGGTAACCAAAGAGATGCAAAGATACAGCTATGCACGGTGCTGCAAACAAGGCGGAACAAGAGAAGAAGGAAGACTTGCAGATAAGTACAAACAATAATGGACAAATGGTGACATCGAAATCCCAGTAGGAGGCATGAATGCCAGCTGAACTGGGAGCAGACAACGAGATAGGAGAACTCATCATGGTTCGAGAGTCTCTCGGCGACATAAATGAGAAAGGGGAACTATTCGCAGACTTCAGCGTTTTCAACGATTTGGTGATCGGCGGCGGTGCACAAGGATACAAAAAAGTAACACGCATTCCGCCTGACCAACACACCACAAACCAGATAGATTTCATCTTTATCTCAAGGGATTAGAGACGCAGCCTGCTGGACGCGAAGTTGAGAAGGGGACAGATGTGGTCATAGACCGTCACCTAGTTCACGGAAACTTCTAGGTGGAGCTAAAATCCGTCAGAACAAATGGAGACAGACCACAATTCAAGTCCAGCATTCAGAAATTGAAAGATAAAACTACAAGAAATGCCTTCAGTCCAGATTAGATCAGGGCAAAGTCGGAGACACCACGTTTTATCACTGAGGAAACCTGTGTGGAAGAACACTGGAACTAACACCCTGAAGGTGATGTTCAAGGGAAACGTGTACTGTTCAAGGAAGAAAGATGAGACAAGATAAGGAATGATATTCAACAGACACCTACCTGGTAGCTAATGGGAGAGAGGAGGATGGTGAAAGAGAGGAAAACTCAATCCAAAGATGGGCAACGGAAGGAGGAGCTGAGTTCAGTGTACAGTGCATTGAACAAAACAGTGGAGAAGATTCCTGGGAAAGACAAAAGAGAATTATACGACACACTGGCAAGTGAAGCAGAACAGGCAGGGCACAGGTAAAACAGACCTAAAGACACCATATAAGAAAACCAGGCTGCTGGCTATCCGGGACGAGACGAACCCAGGTGATGAAACCAATAAAGATGTTCATGGGAATCCGATTACCAAGGAGGAGAAACAAATAAAACAATGGGATGATCTCTTTCAAGTACTATTGAATCGACCATCATCTGCAACTCGTCCGGAAATACCACCAACAGAACGCAGAGAACTGCCTTCTAGTTGACACCAATCTTTCAACAGAACAGAAATCCTGAATGTGACCGAGCTCCTGAAAACCGACGAGGAAGGTGGCAGGGCAAGACAGAATTCCCCCATTACGAAGCACTGAAAACGTACCCAACGACTGTGGCACATGTGCTCACGCAGTTTCCTCAAAACGTCTAAAAGAGGAGAAAGGTGTTTACTCATTGGAAGAAAGGTTACCTTTTCTAACTAACAAAGAGGGGCAAATAATGCCACTGCAAGAAGTGGCATGGAATAATGCTCTGATATTGACTTCCACAGTGTTGTCCACGGTGTAATTTGATAAATCCTTTAACACTATGGCATGTAGTCCCTCAAATTTCTATCAACCTCATTCAAGAGCCTTATGACAATGCCACGTTTCAGGCGATTCCCGGAGGAAAACTCAGCAAAGAGTTCGAAGTGAAACGAAAGTAAGACAAGGCTGCTTTTATTTGTTTTGATTATCCCCGATGACTTTCCACATTGTGGTGAACTAGATTATGCGTCAGACTATAGTGAATGAGAAGAGAGTTAATACTGTTACGACAATATTCTACAAATATCTTTTTTTCTAATGTTTACTATGTTTGAAAGACATAAAAGTCTTAATTCCTTTTCTGTTGCTAAAAATGACCTGCGAAAACTAAATTACGTGTCTACAACTCTAGCTATGCAGCATTCTAGACTTAGGAACTACTGGCTTTATAAATACTGAGAACATTATACAACAACAAAAGACAAAAGACAGGAATACGCTGGACTTATCAGATAACCCCAGACCTGGATTTCGCAGATAATTTATGTTTGATGTCACACAGACTCGAAGCCTTGCAGGAGAAAACCAATAAACTTGTCGAAGAGGCAGTCTAGACGAGACTCCATATGAACTTAGAAAAGATGGAGGTGATGAAGATAACCAACCAATGGTAACAGCGAACAGCACAAATCACCACTAATGGGGGAGACTTGACAGAGGTTACTTCCTTCACTTATCTGGCCAGGAGGCATGGTTTCAACTACAGGCGTAACGGATTAAGATGTCAAAGCTGGCCACAAACGGAAGGGCGAGATACGCCTTCATCAACCTGAAACCATTTTGGAAATCTTCTGCACTGCACACAGCCAGTGCATATAACAAAATTCGGATTCGCAACACCAATGTGAAGTCAGTGGTTGCTTGTAAACGGGTCAGAAACTTAATCAACGTGTCACGGAAAGGATTGCCAACAAGATAGTGTATAATTTCATCAACAGCTGCCACCTTCGCTGGCTTCATACTGAGGGTCAAACTGCTGGGCAGCAAGAAGTGGCAATAAGAAACTCTGGGAGAATACCGAAAAAGAGTCGGTAACCCAACAAATATTTAGAGGAAAGTGCAAATAGCCTGGGTATGCACCTAGGAGATAGTTGAGTAGTATTACACTCCAGAGCAATCCTTGAGTGCAAACCGAAAGGTAAACAATGAATAGAGAGTACGAGGGTGACGTGGAGAAGTTCGCACGAGGAGACGAGGGATTATGGACTAACATGTGACCATCTGGAGAAGACCGCAGAAAATAGGTCAAAATGGGGACGTGCCGTTGAAGCATTATGTTCCACGCCAAACCCAAGGGAACCATAATAAAACTACCATAATAACCTGTTCTCCACCTGCATACCTGTAGATTCTTTGTGTCGTATGGTGACATCCAATTATTAATGTTTAGTTCTGACAGCATGTTTCTGGATGAGGTGTAAATCTCATTCTATTAAGAAGTATCTAACAGAAACGCAGTTATGAGTGGTATGCATAAATGATCGAATGTAGTTTTGGTTACCCCCATACTGTTCAGTTCTGCTGACCATAAGACAGGATAGAAAAAGGGAACTTGCTACCTTTTGCCTGAGAAGTCAATTAATTTTTAGAAAGCAGCAGACAGTATAGACTATCTACATTCATGCAGACGATTTATATGAGATTAACTTAAGGCATTTTCCAAATATGAATGGAAACATCACATATTATGTACTAGAATGATTAAGGTTATTACCAAATGTTTCATTAAAGATAGGTTTTCACATTGCTTTCGTCATCAGTCAAAGCTTTCGGTATGATCTTAGTTCGTAGGCCATACATTGCCGCTGCGTGACAATAAATGACTTGTTGTAACGCAGTTCACGCGATAAAACCACATGTAAAAAACTGGATACATTTATTGTCAACTACAGTTGGATGAAAAAACAAAGGAAATCTGATGGATTCACAAGATTGCATGCAAGGGAAACATCAGTTATTTGTTTTAGTAGGTCACTTTCAAGAAGCAGCAACTAAATAAAAATGTCTTTCAAGATTCCGCGAGTTGGACCGTACAGAAGGTTAATTGAGTAAGTTGAATAAAAAATTCTGTAATAAATCCTAGAGCGAATTCAGATGATAGCCAGAGTCGCCCCAGTTCACAAGATAGAAGCTTTGGCTCACAGTCTACTGTGCAAATGCTTCTTCCAAAAGATGAATTCGAAGAATCTTCAAGTCAGAGTTTGTCACAAGATGTAAGCAAAAACCCTGAATGTCACTGATAGTTTTCAGAGTTCTTATCACTGGAACTCTCTTAGAAGCATCTGGAGGCAAATGGATCGCGAAGATACAATCACGAATCCGAATCCATGTTCAGAAAAGGAGAATTACTACATTGACAACTTAAAGCTTAAGTAAGAGTGTGTAGTAGGATTCTTAAATTCTAGTGTCTTACTAAGCGATGTAAACGAGTCCATCGACTACTTGACAGCATCAGTAAGTTGACCGCCAACAAATATGATGTTCTCTAATTAGTTAAGTACACTAGGAGGAGCTATGGAGTCTTTAAAACAAAAGGATACATTAGAGACTTCTGTGAAACTTGCTAAGCAAATATCATATGAAAGAGAGGTTCTTTCGAGAAAGCAGCCTGTAGGCCAACATATTATTTGCAACTTACTGATAGGATTTAATTAATTCCTTAGATAGAGTGAAGAATTTACAAAAGAGTGTTTCCGATCGTATGGACAGGTAATGACTCTCATTTCCTTATTTTAAGACTGCTGTCAAACATTGAAAGCTCTGTGGCTGACGAGTTGACTTTGTGCAACTCACTGCCAACTGATTCTTTTGAGAAACTGAAACAATCGGTTGAACTTTACCGAAACAGCTTCAAAAAAATATCACCAGCAAATAAGCTGCATGAAACAAAAAGCCTCCAAACTCCATCAGATGTTAAAGTTTTTAAAAAGGAAGAAGAAAACAAACCTGAAATTAGTGATATGTGGTCTGAGACTAATCAACCTATTTCAAGGACTCCAGTAAATTCCATGGTAGCTTGAATTTCTTATCTACTTACAGTAATGTTCTAGTTTTCTAGCGTGAATTCTGCTGTTTCCGTACATATGAAATTTCGAACACCACATTCAGCAACAAATAGAAAACCCAACGTTCGTACAGTGCAAAGACTGCCTTATTCCATTCAGTAAGTTAAACACTACACTGAAAGCAATAATAAGAATTAATGACATGTGTACTTTAAAAGTTCATATCTTAATGGCATATAATACTAAAAATAATGACAGAGAACACATTCAAGCTGGAACTCAATTTCCACCAGTACTTTTTACTAAAAAAATTTGAAAGATCTAGCACAGTTATTGCCGACTGTCTATATTTAATTATATCCGCTTTTGTAGATTCACTTTATAAGTTCAGAGAGGTATCAGTCAATTACTTAAATCACAGAAAATAGAAGCTTTCAGAGGCACACTATTTGGCTGTTTTTAACTAGGTAAAAGCCTTACTCTATGCATATGTACTTTCTGGGGGCAAAATTCTTTTGGCAGTTGGGCTTAACTTAAGCAACCTATTACCTCACCATTTGTTGAGTTTGACTAAATTAAAATTGAATAGACATTTAAGACTGCACCAATTTATATCAAACAACTTAGCATGCTGATATTTACACAAAAATTTCTCAGCACAGAAAACTAAAATACTGGGTAACTTGGATTCTCTTTGAGAAAAAGTTAAAAATACAAGCAAGCTTGTACGGGTTAACCATATTGTGATGTACAAATACTCAGTATTTTATGGTGCCTTCAATCATTAGAATATAAAATCCAAATAGCCATACTTTTACAAAAGCATAACACATTTTCGGACTAACTTAGCACTTTATGACGACTTTCAGATAGCACACAACCAAATGTTTCAAAATGAAAACAAATTTCATTGGAAAAAAACTAAGTTGTTTTCGCTAATACATGTATTTTATTTGTTCTTTTCGTGTTATTTAGAACGCGAATAGTAAAAAAGGAAAGTCCCGATTCCTACAACATTCGGACAACAGCTCAATGCCTACAAAGAGGTAGCTCCAGTTGCCAACGCAAGACTACTCGTTACATACCATCTCCCGATGGAACACCCGACAGCAGTGATTGTATATCTTTATCAAGTATAATCGATCTATAATATAACTTAGTTCACATGACTTTTTTATAATTTACTGATATGGAGAACATAGATTCAGAAGATGATTTATCAGAGTAGAACTTCCCGTGAACCTGCAACAGTTAAAGCTACTACAGTTCCACCCCTTGCTTAACTGTTAAAGACTAACGTGAGCATATACAAAAATTATATTTGTTTAATGTGCGGCTAAACATTAATAATTATGGTTAATAGCCACTAGTCTGTTCGTGTCTTTGACTTTCGAATACCAGGTCTCACTAAGAGTAGAGTAAGATAGAACAGTACAGCCCACTTCTTTTTTAATGGATATCCTCAAGTGAACAAGTCACAACAAAACTGACTTCCTCCCTCCACTGTAAGTAGGAGTTGGTGCAGATGTGTTGCGCGGCATTATTTCACACTAAATAGGGATAAACCACGTATCAAACACTCTTAGATATTTGCTTAGGGCATTCAGATATATGATAAACAGTACGTCAGTTTCCGACCCCATAGACTATGAGTATGAGTAATGTAAATTATTTCAGTTAATAAACGAGAATCAGTCATCTGAATCTAGAAAAGAAAGTGAGGATTTGAACATTTATAGCAGAAAAGAGACAGGATTACCAGACAGTGAGGTTCTCTGACATAAAAAGACAACTTGTGCACTGTGGTAGAGTTTAGTTTCATTGTCGATAAAATTTATTTTTGATAAAGACTCACAGTGTTGTTATACAGTAGTATTTACTGATGATCACCTTTTCAGCACAATTTATTGCTGCTAATGACCATATCAAGGCAATAGTTACACGACATTCCAGCTTCGTTTATGTGATTCTAGTATTTCTCATTTCTTGATTTGATCGGCAGTAATATTTTCCAAATTTGTAGTATTAGTGATGAGTCATTCCCATGGCACGTGTTAAGTCTAGATTCTATTATCCAGAATTGAGTAATCAACCTCTGTCTCCACCTACCTATATTACTTCTTAGAATTTTAACTATCTCCCACCCTACTGTGTGGTTAAGTGTCGATGCATGCGATGCAACTGCTGAGTCTGTCAAAATTACACACTGCTTATCTTTGCGGGGGTAAATCATTGTAATACTAGCTAGATTCTTATGTTCTGTTAATCTAACTACACCCAACCTACTAGTCTGACCAATGTAGTTGATTTAACTCACAGTCTTTGAAAGGTATTTTGTTAATTATATCATTTTGTTTAACTAGGACAACAAGGTCCTTTAATCTACAGGGCTTGTCCTACCTGAGTGAGTTTGTAGGTTTAAATGTCACCTTATTTCCTGCTTTATTAAGAATCCAAGGTAGGGTCTCAGATGTCCCTCCTTATGTGGTAAAGCTACTACAGATGCCTTATATTCTCTCTTATTTATGTTATCATTATTAGTTACACCATTATTTGTATTTTGCTTTTGATCTTTTCTGATCTTCCTAATGAATTTTATAGGATAGTTATTTAACACCAACCAGCTATTCTTCTATCTGTTTCATTTCATCATTTAGGTCTTTTCTTGTACTACTTAGTGCTACTGCTCGGTTTGTTAGACACTTAACTAAGCCTGCCTTAACAGTTAAAGGATGAGGTGAATTAAAGTCTAAATATCTATTAGAATGCGTTGGCTTTGCTTTCTATAAACAGTAGTGTGCAGTTTACCTTCTTCTATTCGTTTGATTTTACAGTCTAACATAGCTAATTATCCTTGTTCATTTTCCCATTCAAATAAGAATTTTATTCCCTCTACTAGTGAGTTTACATGCGTCAAGAAGCTACATATATGTTCTGTTTTTAACACTGTGAAAGTGTCCATCATCCACATATCTCCACCATATTTTGGAGTAGTATTATATGCCTTAAGAGCGGAATTTCCCACCTGTCCATAAAGATATCTGCTAAGATAGGGGATATTGGGGATCCCATTGCTTCACCTTCTGTTTGTCTATATATTTTGCCTTGGAATTTAAAGATAGTAGATGTGAGGCATAACTGAATTCCTGAAATAATTTACTCAGTGGGCAGCTTTGTCTTACGAGTAAGTTCAGGATCAGCAGTCAGTTCTCTTTTAACTGCTTCTAAAGCCATATTGTTTCGCATCTTAGTATAAAGACTAGCTATATCAAAACTAACCATTGTTTCATTATTCTCTAATTGGGTGCCATTTAATTTCCTCTTCATTTCATATGAATTAGTTAATTTTTTTTATTACAGCTTGGTGCCACACCGTATTTTCAGTACAAGTATGGAATTTTCAGCATGGATATCGGTAGCCCAAATTTTGCAGGCCGACCATAGATATCGGGTGTGCGTCGGCAGGGGCTTAGAGTTTGGACGATTTCTAATGGGACATAGTATTAGAGCTAAGTGTTTTGGTAATTCATAAGTAGGGGTGTTCCTGAAATCTATTATTGGTCGTATAGGGTAACCTGGCTTATGTTTTTTATAGTGCCATATTATTCTACTAGCATTGTTTGCTTTAGGCATTACAGGAAAGCATTTAGACTCGCCCAGTTACGACTTCATTCTGCGTAATAAATCCGCTGTAGATTTTTAACCTTATTCATTATTGTACCTACAGGTTTCTTAATTTCCTCATATGGACTCGTTTCAAAGTGTTCAGGGACTTTTTTGATATAGTCAGATTTGTCTAAAACTCCCGACGACTCTCCCATGTCAGCCTTTATGATGACGATATTTCTACCATTTTTAAGATTAATTAAAGCTAGTCTTTCCGATTTCGTTAAGTTGGATTGTGCTTACTTTCGATTTTTCAGAGTTAATGCACACTTTACTCGAACCTTTTCTGTTGTTGCCTTATCTATTGCACTTAATGCTACTTCTATGTTAGGACTGACATCCTCTGGTTTTAGTTCAATACCTATTATGTTGAAACTTGATTCTTTGTCCAGCACTTTTATCTCACTAGATCTCAGTTCTCTTGATGAGAGATTGATCACTCACTTTGTTCTGTCAATGGATTATGAAACGTTGCTGTTCTTTTCTTCTATTTAATTCGTTGAATTTTTTTAAATTTGCGTGGCTTTTGATTTCCTTAATGCTGTTTCTCTAGCTTTTTCGGATGTTTCAACACAAATTTCATAATCTTTATCATTGATCATACATTTGAGTTTTTCAGTTTCACTTCGTATACTGTTTAGTTTCATAATAATTCCATGTAGTTCTTCTTCTCATAGATATAGTCTGCTAACATATTCCGCTGCTGATTTTATTTTCCTTGAAGTAATTGGAGCATTTAGGCTTTAGAATTAAGGGGATAGTCAGAACATAAGAATTTAGCTAAGGTTAGAATAACTGACCCCACGAATATAAGTAATTTAGAAAAAAACTCAGCAATCGCACTGCATGCATGCATTAACACACAACCACACAATAGGGTGGATGGGACAGAGTTAAAATTCTAAAAAGTAATATAGGTAGGTGGAGATATAGAGAGGTTGATTACTGAAACTTTGTTCATAGGATCTACACCCAACACTACCAATCAAATCAAGAGATGCGAAGTGGAATAATATAAACGAAGTCGTAAAGTTGTGTGATTATTGGCTTGACATGATTATGAGCAGCAATAAATTTTGCTGGAAAGGTGATCATCAGTAAACATTACTGTATCAAAGCACTGTGTGATTTCATGAAAATAAATTTTATCCACAATGGAATGAGGTTCTGTTGTGTTGCTCTATTTTTGACCAAACTAGCGTACACGTATATTCTAGTACTTCTTCGCGTTTATGTATTGTGTCCTAACGCTGTGATTACTCGACATCCACAACGTAAATCAAAAGGCACTTGCGAAGGAATACGATCGTGTATTATCACAGTAATCAAACTTCAAAAGTTGAGCGAGTACAATGTATCAATTGTTAATACGCAATCTTTAGAGTGAAAATAAATCAAAGTCCAATTACATAATGAAAGTATACTACGATGATGAATAATAAAATGAGTCACTATAGTTCTTTATATTACTAAACATACATTTTCTCTTAAATTAGGAAGGCATCTCAACGACTTTTATTTACATAAGCAACAACAGGTATAGTTGTGGTGAGAGCTGACTGTTAGCCAAAGTTGGTAGACAGTAATTGACGTCAGTGGTTATGTCCCCAATATTGGTGGTGAGAAAATGAGAACAAAGGCTTTGCGTAGGCAGATAGAGTTAGCATATGGATGATCTGACACAGCCAAAAAGAGATGCAAGGTTAACTTTCTGTGCGTCGGTGGCACAACGGTTAGGACTCTCGCAGACCATGTACATGGTCCGAGGTTCGATCCCCCGCCGACGCACACCTGATATCTATGGTCGGCCTGCTAAATTTGGGCTACCGATATCACATGCTGAAAATTCCATACTTGTACCAAAATACTGTGTGGAATCAAGCTATAATTAGATTTTTTTTAAATAAAAAAGACTCTATTTTCTACTAACAATAATCTACAATAATGTACATTAAAATCTATAAATATGTGTTGATTTTCCTTAATAAACGATCTGTTTCCTGACTCTTGCCTTCTGTCGTTACATAGTAACCCCAGTAAATAATGGGCAAGTGTAAGATATCGTAGATTATTGATCACTACACTGAATTTCTCAACATCAGTTTGTGACTTACAACCAGAAATATTGGGTAGTATTAGCAGTTTATGATGTATATATTCAGTATGTTTTCTTCCAATCAGACACAAATTTAATGTGGTTTGGTAATTAATAGGGATGGTAAATACCCAGTGCTTATTTTTACTCATAAAAATTAGAAAGCTACGAAGTGATACGTTATACATACAACAGACATTATGCGTCCGGTAGCCTTAAAATTGGGAGCACAAGCTACCGTAAATTGTAACTACCTGTCAGCCTAGTTATAAATCAATGCGTTAAATAAACATGGCGACTGAAATAAAATTTAACATATGTATCACGACAATTATGGAGATTGAAAATTCCTTAATTTCTGAAACCAGCTCGCCAAAAGCAATTCTTAA